ACAGTAAAAATACACACCAAACACAAGTCTGAGACTCAACTCAAAAACTGTTATACCTATGGGAGGGGGGGGACCAGGTTTTTTGGGATGGTCTTTGCCCCTCCTGCCCCCCTTGGTGGTGCCCCTGTTACATGACTCTCAGCTACTACCACCTCTAATTTTATGTTTGCTTCTGTTGACTGTTAAACTAAAATAAACAGATTTTAATCACAAACATTTTAAGTCATGCTAGCAAACAATCTTCTCTGAAATAGAGAAACTTTTTCTGAACATTAAAATAAGAATTTATCAGTCAAAACAAGATAAGAACAACATTTACAGTGTAAGGTTCAAAGCTTCAACAAACAGAGCAGATCTTACCTTCCTGCAGGTCGTTGTTGTTGTTCGTTGAAGGACTGATGCTGTCCTTCTGAGGTCTCCTGAAGCCTTTTTTGAATGATCTTTTAATTTTATCCTTGAAAGAACCCATCTTTTACCTGAAGCTCTGAGCAGCGACACACCTGAGACTCATCTAACAGAAGCAGCTCCAGAAAGCTGTATAAAAGCAAACAGGAAGGGGTTTTCCACGTTAACACTTTCACTTTCTTTTTCTTTGAAGCTGCTGTAAAAACATGGTCTCTCACTGGAGAACCTGATTTCTTGTAAATCACAGGTGCTCTGAGTCTCAACTTCTTCCTGATTTACTGTTTTAGTTAAAGCCAGGAGGGTTTGATCCTCCTGCAGAGTGGATTTAAACTTAGTAAAGATTATTTAAACTGAAGACATGTTTCAAATTAATCTATGGGAATTACCCTGGCCTTTTCTGACAGTGAAGAAAACCGGTTTTAACAAAACTGAGTTTAATTTTCTGTTTGCGTTGAGAAAAAAACAAAAGTAACAAACCAACCGGATTTTATTTTTAAAAATAAAAAAGTGACGATGGTACAAGAGTTTAATTAATGTTGGCAATAACTGCTATAAAATGTTGATGGACCTGCTTATATAAAACCATGACCATTAGCCATTATGGGCACAAAGTGTAAAATATATTTTCCATTATTTAGCTCACTGTTCTTGCATTTAGCTAATTTTTACTAAATGTTAAATTTAAATGTTAAAAAACTGGTTTAAATATTAAATCCTAAAACTAAGGGCCAGTTTCCCGTGCAGGGATTAAGCCTAGTTCTAGATTAAATCCCATTTTAAACCAGGATTTATTGAAACAGCTTTCTTAGTTATGGATTACAGTAGTCCCAGACTTGTCCTAGTCTTGAATTAAATAATCTTTCTTAGAGGAAGACGAGCTAATCC